GCTTAATATGGATGTATGGCTCGCGGATCCTCTGGCAACTACGTCGTAGGTCTTGAGCGACTCCCACTCTGTTTTTATTGCTTGGATTTAAAACCACCGGGGTCCGTCGGAGATAGCGTATTGATCAGGGGGGGGGGTCGGAGGCGGTCGGTCAGGGTGCTCTGCAAACTGCCCACCCAACTGAGACAGGCCGACATCTGCCCTTCTGGCAGGGTCACCCAGGTGCTGGGAAGTAGCCCAGCAGGTCCCTAGAATCTGCTCTCAACCCTTTGATCCTCACCCTTTGGAGTCAGCTGGGTGGATGGGGCCAAGGGGTTATGTGGCCAAGGCTGTCTATCCTGGGGAGAGGCTGCACCCTCCTTGGACCTGAAGGAGCCACTCACGCACCTTCATCGCTGAATGTGTATTGAGCACCTCCTGTGTGCCAGGCCCTGGGCTAGGCAGGGGGACTCAGCCATTTCCCAGTGTGTGAGGAGGAGCCAGACACTGCCCCACCCCTGCCTCCCCATCCAACCAACCAACCAACCTCACAGACAGACACACATCCTCCCACCCCCACCAAGTGTCTACACAGCCATGTGTCAAAGGTGGTCAGGTAGGGCTTCTTGGAGGAGGCGATTCCAGTAGGTGGAAGGAATGGTGTGTGCACAGGTGCTGGCCCCTGGGGCCACCCCCACCCTGCCCTACCTGGAGAATGATGATAAGAAGGAAGTAGGAGTTGGATATTCGGTGGAACTGCTCGTACAGGTTCAAGGGCAAGAAGGAGAAGAAGTTGTACTTGGCTGTGTGAATGATGTTGCCCTAGAATGAGAGCCAGCATGGGGGCACTGCCCAGGCCAGGACTCCACCTTGGCCTCACCCCGCCCTTTAGCTACTATCAGCAGTAACTGAGCACCCAGTGCAGACAAAGTCTCAAGCCAGATGTATTGAGTGCTAGCTGAGGGCTGGGCCTTGAGCCAGCATTAACTGAGCCTCTACTGGATGCAAAGACTCACAGAAGAGGGCTGTGACCCTGTATTTCTCAAAGTGAGTCACACACGTCAAAAGATTTAGGTAGAGCCTGATGCACTTTGAAGGTTTAATATTAACTGATTTTAATGGGAATGGGGTGGGGGCTGGCAAGGAAACACAGGACATTCTAGCACCAAACTGGTGATTTGCTCATGATTAAAACTGGGGGCGGGGGTGGGGGGAAAAGTAGGGGGGAGGAGGTAGGAGAGGCCACCCACCTTGTACTTCCTCCTCTGCCAACACAGGAAGGCCTTCTCCTTGAACTGGTTGTTGTAGGTCCTGTCGTTGGCCTTCACCTCCCAGGTGAACGCTGAAGCCAGTGGAGGGGGGGGGGGGGGTTTTGCAAGGGGTGTAAACCCGCCTAATGATCCCCCAGAGGAGGGTTCGGGGCACCTGGGGAACCTAGACACGGGGTCGCCTGGCTCTTGGCCACGGGTGTGGGAGCTGGTCGGCCACCACCAGCCTGGGCCAGGGCCAGTCACCAAGTGTGGACACAGGCCCGCCCTTCTGCAGGCGGGGTCAGAGCCCAGCCCCTTCCGGTCTGCAGCCCGCAGCCCGCCCCTTCCGGGCTGCAGCCCCCAAATCCAGAGTCCGGCACTCAGTCACCGGGGCTGGAGCCCAACTAGAACCCCGTGGCGGGTCTGCCGGGTGGATGTGGGGTCTCCCCGTCAGCGAACCTCTGCATCGCTCCTGGCTTCCTCCCGGGGCCCCCAGCGGCCCCAGCACGCACCTGCTTTCTCCTCCTCCTCCTCCTCCCCCGGGGCCTCGCTGGGGCCCAGGCTGCACAAGCTGGGCGAGCTGTAGGGAGGGGCCGGGTCAGCGGGGGGCCAGCCTTTGCCAGACCCATCCTTTAGTTCTGCCTCCCGACTGTCACCTCCCGCCTCACGCTCCCCTCGTCAGGCTCTGAAGGCTCAGCCTCTAGCTCTTGGGTCCTTCCCTGGGTGCCCCCAGGATGAAGGACTGGTAACCCCCCAGTTGCTTGGTGGCCCCCCTTCTCACAGGCAACTGCCCCTCACAGGCGCGCCCAAATGACCCCCCCAATAACCCTCCATTTGAGCT